TCGCTATAATGTCATCGGATTGTCTGTGATGATGTCTGGATATGATCGGATTGTTTTTCAAGGTCTGAATTTGTTAAGTTCCTTGTCATTATCTACAGGTTTGTGTCGAAATGTCCATCATAATCGTGCTTTTATTAGACTGTTTTGATCGCTATAATGTTATCGGATTGTCTGTGATGATGTCTGGATATGATCGGATTGTTTTTCAAGGTCTGAATTTGTTAAGTTCTTTGTCATTATCTACAGGCTTGTGTCGAAATGTCCATCATAATCGTGCTTTTATTAGACTGTTTTGATCGCTATAATGTCATCGGATTGTCTGTGATGATGTCTGGATATGATCGGATTGTTTTTCAAGGTCTGAATTTGTTAAGTTCTTTGTCATTATCTACAGGCTTGTGCCGAAAAGTCCATCATAAACGTGCTTTTATTGGACTGTTTTGATCGCTATAATGTTATCGGATTGTCTGTGATGATGTCTGGATATGATCGGATTGTTTTTCAATGTCTGAATTTGTTAAGTTCTTTGTCATTATCTACAGGTTTGTGTCGAAATGTCCATCATAAACGTGCTTTTATTAGACTGTTTTGATCGCTATAATGTCATCGGATTGTCTGTGATGATGTCTGGATATGATCGGATTGTTTTTCAAGGTCTGAATTTGTTAAGTTCTTTGTCATTATCTACAGGTTTGTGTCGAAATGTCCATCATAATCGTGCTTTTATTAGACTGTTTTGATCGCTATAATGTCATCGGATTGTCTGTGATGATGTCTGGATATTGTGGCACCTTGCATTATTAGAAATATTCCTAGAAATATGATTTAATTTTTTCTTACTCAGTTTATTAAACAGGTTGTTAATTTTTTTTTTTTTTAAAAACGGAAAATAACTGAGTTGAAAATAATTCACTAAGAGTGTACTAGACGATCCTAAGGAAAGAAGAAGGAAAGAAAGGAAAAAAGAAGGAAGGGAAGAAAAAGAAAAAAGGGAAATGTATGACGCATGACCCAATTGAGGGTGGAGATAGGAGTCAGAAAGAGATTTAGGTCAGCGTCTTGGCCGATTTTCGAAAGTCATTTTGATAAGAATGTCGGTCAGAGCACTTGGCCTACTTTTGCGTGGAGGGAAATTTCTTTGTAGAACAATAGAAACGAAATTTTCTTTGGGTTGAGGGGAGTGACCAGTGGAACGATATACAGATCTTGACCTGTTAAGAATTGGACACCCACGTTAATAAAGTAGAGACATTTCAATGTAGATAATTAAGATTTTCGACTATCAGGAAAAACAAAGAGGTAAAAAGAGGGACAATTGCTTTTGGCTCACAGAGGGCGCCAAGAAGGCGGAAAAGATCCTTTCTAAAGTCAAGACTAATTAGCAGCGGGCTGTTTGACAAAGTCCAGGTGAGAGAAAGCCAAAGATTGTCATTTTGCGTACGTGCAAAAAGGGGCAAAATTGGATTTTGTTTTTTTTTTTTTTTTTTTTTAAACAAGAACGATGTAACCACGCCCGCAAACAGAGGGGAGAGGATGTTCGATCAATAACAATTGGTCGAATACGATCACGTGACCTGCGGAAGAAAAGGGAAAGAAATGCTCGATCAGGAACGATTGGTTGAAAAGCGGTCACCTGACATACGAGAGACTAAGAGAGATGGATGTGCGCCGCCCCACCAAAGGTACTGCGAGGAAGGGGCGAAAACAATAGCGATAATGGAGAAGACAGAATTAATGCAGTTTTGGAATTATCGAGAAAACCCTGACGCCGACAGACCCACCCCAGTTTGTTGCGGCGTCAATAAAAAGCAGGGCCCCAATCGACAAAAAATCAGTTCATCCCCGGACGGCAGCGAGAAAAGAACCCTCAGACAAGAAGAACTTCCAGCCCAAGTAGATGAAGAAGAAGATTGCCTGAAAGCCTGAGAAGAATTGAGCTGCAGACAAGCCGAAAGTCGATGAGAAGTTAAAGTTCAGCTCCGGACGGCAGTGAGAAGAGACCACCTCAGACGACAGAGAGTTGCGGCTAAGTTGAAACAAGAAATCTTCCACCAAGTTGAAACAGGAAAACTACCAGCCCAAGCAGACGAGGAAGAAGAAATACAACTCAAGTCGGAGAGAAGAATCAACTGCGAATGATCGATAGAAATTAGCCCCAGTGTCGAACTGAACCACACTCCGACATACATACATGATTCTAGAAAGTAGGTAATTCGACATTTTCCTATTGTGTGATAGAAGCTTGGTGCCATAGTCCACAGAGCGGGTCGGGAAATGAGAACAATTTTGTTTTTATGTAACGGACTTTAAGATATAAAAGGTTGTTACCCTTTTATCAGCAATTTTGTTTGGTGTCGTGAGTTTTTATTTTATTTGTGTTTTGCCACCCCGTCGGACTCAACTTGTATCGGCCCCGATCCCTGGTCCCGTCTGTCTAAGATCTAAACACAGCGTGGGTAGACAGACCGGAGATCGGTATAGTTGCTTTAGTGACCAGGTA